GAAATCTCGCGAGCTCTAGATAAAGCCCAGCTGGATACTACTCCAGGTGGAGGTGTCTCGTCCTCGGTCACATCCAGACCTTGAAAATAAGGCTGCAACCGGTCCCATTCCTTGCAACAGAGGCATTCCTCTTCTGTGGGCACTGGGGCACAGCATTCACAGGTACACCACCAATCTCCAGAGCTACACAGCCTTGCAGCAGCCATTCCTCCTCTCTCGTCCTCTACCTGTTGTGCCTCTCTCTCTCTCCTCCTCCGTTCTTCAATTTCACAAAGCTCTTCGTCAGTGTATTCTGGCTCAAATAAATAAGGGCGGCCATCAAACTCTGCAAAATCAAATTCCTCCTCCGCAAAGTCAAAGTCTGGCAAAAAGTCAGCCATTATTCTATAAAACTTTAATAAAATAAATGAATGAACTTTTCAGGCTACTGTCCGGTTCTGCCTTCCAGCTGTTGCTGCTTGTTCTCGCGAGATTTCAGGCACGGTATGAGATCGCTGCTTGTCCTCACAATATTTCGGCCGCGCTTTGGAAAGCAGAGCTAAATGGTAAACAGACATGGCAGCACACCGGTAAGGTAAGACAACACGTTTACATGTCGTTTTCTATATGTTCTCTGACATTTATCCTAACGATATGAGGCGGTCTTTGTGGAAAAAAAAGCTTGTTTAGTGGACTAACTTTGCACTTGAAGTATGCCCCTTCACTTACGTTTTAACAGGTCTGACACTACTATGCGCCCCGGCTGTATCTAGGCTAACGGCTAACATGCTAACTATTATTTTTATGTCACTAGTCACTTGAAACAAATTTAGGATGATAGGAGACAGGTTGAAATAAAACAAAATTTCCCTTTAATGTCTGGCAGTGGAAGTGGGCGTGGTTTCATCTAAATTTGGCTGGAAGAACAATACACGCCTTTGGGTCCTATCTTTTTTAAAGAGAAGCAGTAAGAATTGAGTGCCATCCCTATTAGGTCAATGAGGTCAACACTGAAGGTGCAGTGACAAGGACAGATGGGAATTAAGCATTAGAATTTGGGGATATTATTTGGGAACAAGGGTGTCCGCTTGTCCAACTGTCAAAACATATGTTGTTCACTGTAAAGCGAAATTGCCAAATCTTAATAAAATGGAAGACCAGTTTTAAAAAATGGTCAAACACTACACTTCCTGCAGAAGGTTTTATCTAAACCATCACAAGATCTCTTTATCATTCAACTTCAACTAGTCTATACCAAAAATAAAATTAAACTAACTTCATAAGAAAAGAAAAACACTTACAGAGAGCTCTCAAGACGATATAGTTGCATCAGTGTCAGCATAAAAACGCAGCCACGACTGCCTTCAAAACCTCTGTGCCCCCTGTGCGTGCGTATTTTCAACACCTCCAAATTATCCTGTCAGTCAAGAGTAGCACCTGGAGTGGACAACTCTCAGGTGTTAAAACTCCTCCGGCAGGAAGAGAAATGACTGCTGGGTCACTTCCGCAACCTCTGTCACACAAACACACGCAAACACGGCAAGACAGTGGTGGTCAGGGAATATGAGTGCCGCGGCCAATAAAGTGTTTTCAACTCAGCGGGGATCAAACAGGAATAACCTCCAGCCACAGCAGGGACGGAGTGGCAAATGTGATTGACTTGGAAATATATTGCTTTCATAAAAATGTCTTTGTTTGTTTGTAGTCATCCAGATGGAGAGAAATACGGAAAGAGAGGAAGCTGTAGTCACAGTCGGCTTACAGCATTTGTTCTCTTTGCTTTTCAGTTTTGTTATGTTGCAGTCTTTTTATTTCCCCTGTTGTTCACGACATCCAACTCGTTTGTCTGTTTTAATACTGAGCACGGTCTGATCTAGTGCCAGTTACATGTCCTGTTTTATGTCCTTGTTGTGATGTGAAGACCAACGTCAGCGAGAGCGAGGCTGACTATGACAGCGGCGGTCTATTTGACGTGGTTACCTCAGTCTTTTCAAATTAGGCT